TCCTCCCCCACCCACCCCAGTCTGGCTTCCAGTGCCAGCCCCCTTGCAGCTCAGCCAGGCCACAGCTGTCTCTGGATTGTTACTGAATCCAGTGAATCTTGTTATCGTAGTTGACCTGCTTTTGAGACTGCAGGGAGGGACTGTGCGACCTCCCCGAGCTTCTGGAGCCAATCTCTCCCCCCACCCCCACTTTCTCTGGCTGCTGCCCAGGACCTGTCCAAGTTCCTTTCCTTCTTCCTATCCCTCCAGTGTCACCCTTCTCAGATGCTGTGTCCCAGGCCTCTGCTCCTCCTGCATTTCAATCCAGAACCATCTACACAATTGGTGGGATACATTGCAAGTGAAAATGTGGGGTTCCTTGTTCAAAATTATTAATAATTTCGGGGTGCCTGGGTGGCTCAGTTGTTGGGCATCTGCCTTCGGCTCAGGTCATGGTCCCAGGGTCCTGGGATCGAGCCCCACATCGGGCTCCCTGCTCGGCCGGGAAGCCTGCTTCTCCCTCTCCCACTCCCCCTGCTTGTGTTCCCTCTCTCGCTGTGTCTCTCCCTGTCAAATGAATAAAATCTTTTTTAAAAATTATTATAATTTCAAGATGGTCACAGTAAATCATTAAACCAAGTGTAGAGCCCTTCTGAGCACGGGGCCCCAAGGGACTATGCAGGTCAGTTGCCCACAAAGCTGGCCATGCTTCCGAATCTCCTGGGTATAATCCCCAGCCTGTCTCACTGGCCTGCTCCCCCAGACCCCATGTTCTCCACCTTGGTGGTGGCCCCACCATCGCCCAAGATCTGCTCTCTGAGGGTTGTTGGGGTAAACAAAATGCACCTCTAAAGATGTCCAGGCATGAATGCCTGAAACGTATGAATATGTTGATCACATAGCAAAGGGACTTTGCAGATACGATTAAAGTATCTTACAGAGGGACGCCTGGGTGGCTCAATCATTAAGCATCTGCCTTTGGCTCAGGTCATGATCCCAGGGTCCTGGGATCGAGCCCCGCATCGGGCTCCCTGCTCTGCGGGAAGCCTGCTTCTCCCTCTCCTTCTCCCCCTCCTTGTGTTCCCTCTCTCACTGTGTCTCTCTCTGCCAAATAAATAAATAAAATCTTAAAAAAATAAAGTATCTTACAGACCTTAAAATAGATTATCTTGGCGTGACGGTGAATCTTATGTGTCCGCTTGGCCCAGCTACAGTGCCCGGTTATTCACTCAAACACTGACCCAGGTGTTCCTGGTGGAAGCATTTTGTAGATGTGGTTGATACCTACGGTCAGTTGACCCTAACTAAAGGAGATTACCCTTGAGAGCATGAGTGGGCCTCATCCAATTAGTTGAGTAAAACAAAGGTTTCTCTGGGGAAGAAGAAATTCTGCTCCTGCAGCATCTGCTCCTGCCTAATAGAGTTTCCACTCTGCCCCACGGATTTGTGGCTAGCCAGCCCCTACAAGCACAAAATCCAGTTCCTTGCAAAAAATCACATATATGGTTTTACTTATTTATGGAACATAAGGAATAGCATGGAGGACATTAGGAGAAGGAAGGGAAAAATGAAGGGGGGGAGATCAGAGGGGGAGACGAACCATAAGAGACTATGGACTCTGAGAAACAAACTGAGGGTTTCAGAGGGGAGGGGGTGGGGGGATGGGTTAGCCCGGTGATGGGTATTAAGGAGAGCACTGCATGGAGCACTGGGTGTTATATGCAAACAGTGAATCATGGAACACTACATCAAAAACTAAAGATGTGCTGTATGGTGATAACATAACACAATCAAATTTAAAAAATAATAATAAATAAATTTTAAGCTCTAAGTACCAAAAAAAAGAAAAAATCATACATATATATGTGTGTGTATATATATATATGATTAGGGATATGTATTACCTGGTAATCAGTAAAAATTAATATTTTTCTATATCTTAACTATGTAGATATCCTAATTATATATCTTAATAATACATATATCTTAATACATGTGTGCATAGGTATACATGTAGGGTGTGTTCTGGTTCCCTGGAGAACCTTGATTGATACACCTGTGTTATCCAGGTGGGTCCAATCTAATCACATGAGCCCTTAAAAGCAGAGAACTTTCTCTGGCTAGAGGCAGGAGGGAGATGGAGCAGAATGGGAAATCAGAGAGATTTGAAGCCTCAGAGGGATTCAACTCATCGCCAGCAGAAGGGAGCTGTGTGGAAAGCACCAGAAGGATGCAGGCAGCTTCCACACACCAGCCCCAGCTGGCAGGAGCCAGGGACTTCGGGCCCACAGCCACAAGGAACTGAATTCAGCCAATGCCTCTAATGAGCTTGCAAGAGGATTGTTCCGAGTAAGCGGCACAGCCCTGCTGACATCTTGATTTCAGCCCTGACAGACCTAAGGTCCCACCCAGACTCTCACCCTACAGAAATGGTGGAATAAAAAATGTGGGTGGTTGTCAACCACCCAGGTTGTGGAGAGTCCTTACACCAGCAATGGAAAACCAATCTCCTCTCTCTCCTCTCTCCTGCAAATCCTGTCCATCTTGTTCTCAAGTCTAAGTAAGCCTACCTGAATCCCTTTTTGTTGTACCTTCCTCTGCATCCTCGTGGCTGCTGCTCCAACTTAGGCCCCTCCCCAGGGTCCCTGCACCCAGTGTCACAGCCTCCTGGCCGGGGCCAAGAGGAGGGTGATGCAAAAAAAAAAATAAAAATTAAAAAATTAAAAAAAAATAGGGCAACGTCAAAGAGTCAGTAACCAAGATTGACAACAATGTGACACAACAAATGAATAAATGCAACAAAAAGAATCAATAACACATCCATGATGAACAAAATATCAAAGTTTTAAATGAAGATGGCATCCATGTGACTGATTTTCCTTTTTCTCCCCAGGATCCAATAAAGCTTATCACAACCCTGATCCTGTCTTTATTTGAAGTTTTTTTTTTTTAAGATTATTTATTTTATTTGAGAGACAGAGAGAAAACACAGAGGGAGAGTGAGAAGCAGACTCCCCACTGAGCGGGGAGCCGGATGCGGGACTCTATCCCAGGACCCTGGGATCATGACCTGAGCCGAAGGCAGCCGCATAACTGACCGAGCCACCCAGGTGCCCTGTTTATTTGAAGTTTTTGATTTTTTTGTGTGTTCATTATGGATTTTTCCTGCATCCATCGTTAAAATACTGCATTAAAATCTTATTCACCCTAAACAAAGTGTGGTCTGTCCATGCCACGGAATATTATTCAGCCATGAAAAAATTAAACACTGACCGATGCTATGATGTGGATGAGACCTTGAGGACATCACACTCAGTGAGAGAAGCCAAACACAGAAGACCACATATCTAGGATTCCGTGTATATGAAACGTCCTGAACAAACAAACCCACAGAGATAGAAAGCAGATTGGTGGCTGTCAGGAGCAGGGGGAGGGGAATAGGGAGGAACTGCTTATGAGTAAGGGGGCTTCCTCTGGGGGAGAGGTGGAGATGAAAATGTTTTGGAGCTAGATGGAGGTGGTGGTCACACAACACTGGGAATGTACCAAACACCGCTTTTAAATAGTTCCTTTTACGTCATGTGACTTTAACATCCACAAAATATTTAATAAAAATCTGTATTTAAATATATTATTTATCTTGGTTACTGAGTTTTGTGTAACCCTCTTCCCCCAACACACACCCCTAAATTTTGCTCTGGATTTGAATCGCAGCCTTGCTCCAGTCAGTCCCTTGCCCCCGTGAATCCCAGAGGGAACTTTCTAGTACCGGGATCTGACCTTGCTATCCCGACCCGTACCCTGCCTGGTTCAGTATGCCAGTGTCCAGGGGCTTTTGAGCTGATCTCTCCAGGCAAAAAGAACTCCACTTTAGAGACCCTGGAGCCCTCTGCTTCACCTGGCCTCCCAGCCTGCTCTGAGCTTTCTTCCTTTTCTCCTCTGCCCTGGAACCTGCCACTTCTTGGAGATTTCGTTCAAGCTGCCCTACCTTGTGATCTGTGAAACTGACTCTCTTCTGCAGCCCCACAGCCCCAGCCCCAGCTCACGCGTGAGCCAGCCTCCTCCCTGGGGACTCTGCTCTCCTCGCAAGGGAGGCCCTGCCTCACACCGGGGCGAATCTTCCCAACACTCGGATATGCGACTCTTTTGTCACCAAAAGGCGCAAGTGCTCAGAGTCCTGTAATGACCTTTGTGTGAGCAGCTCCAGGCAGGGGTATTCATCCAGGAAACTCTCCGAAGCAGGGTCGGAGTTGCCCCTTGAAGACTACCTCCATCCTCCTGCGGACTCAGGGACCCAGGCTGTTTCGTTCTCTCTTACACTCTGTCTCTCTCCCTTCCCCTCACCCGTCCTCCCTCAACACACGCACATTCTCTCCTCCAACCGCTGCAATCTGGAAGAAATTACTCTTCTAAACAACCAGACTTCCCCAGCTTCAGGAAATTCCAAGCTGGGCAGGGGGAGGGGCCGGGCTGGGGGGCGCGCCCTGGCCATCCCCCACCCCTTCTGCGTGTCCTCTGTGCACACCCAGTCCGGGCCTCGTCCCGCCCCCACACTCTGCCCGGAGGCCTCAGCCTTTCCACCGCTGCTTTCGAGTCCTTTAAATCCTAGAGGCAAACTTTTGGGGGATAAGGAAGGCTTGGGAGGGGCCTGCGCCTTAACCCTCTCTGCCCCAGACGGACTGAGCTGGCCTGGTCGGTGACTCCGCGGCCCGTTTGGGTTCCTACCATGGCCCCCGAGAGGGGCTGACACTTCGGTCCCCGGTGCAGGTAAAGAAGAGAACCGGTGCCAGGACCTGCCAGGGGTGGGGCCCGGGCTCCTGGGTCTGAGGCCTGGACCCCAGGGCCTGAGGGAGGGGGGCTTGGGAACCTCTGACTCCTAGGTCTGAGGAATAAGCAGGACTCCCGGGACCTGAGGGGGGGTTCCTGAGGAGAGGGCGCTGCGGACCCGGGCGCCTGGGTCCTGGAGCCCCCTCCAGGTTCCGCATGATACTTCCTTTGCCAGGTGAGAACCGCCCGGAGGAAGAAGGAAGGAGGCGCGGGCCTGGGCCTCGGAGGCGGAGGTGGGCCCCGAACCAAAGAGGGGGGGGTCCCCCAGCCTGAGCCTGAGAGCGCGCCTGCCCCACTCAGCGAGGACCGAGAGGTAAGGGGGCCGCGGGGAGCCGGGCCCCGGGGTCTCGGGTCAGGTCCGGAGGGACGCGGGACAGACGGGCAAAGGGACCGCGGGCGCTCAAGTCCGGGCGGCAGCCACGTGGCCCGAGGAAGTGCGGCGAGCCCACGGGCGGGGGTCTCCCCCTCCCGGGCCCGGCCCCGCCCGCCTCGCCGCCTCCCCCCGGAGCCGAGAACCGGTCGGGCCTGGTGCGGAGCGGGCGGTTATTTCCGTCTTCGCGGGGCTGGGGCCGGAGAGGACAGAGGTGAGCCAGCTGCGCCCTCCACTCCCGCAGCTGGGGCGGAGGGAGGCAGGAGGAGGGCGGCTCCGCTGAGCCTCGAGTCGCGGAGCCAGGGCCCCTCGGGGTCCCGCCCTCGCTCCTGCACGCTCTGCCTCTTGCGCGTTTGTCACTAACAACAGCCCCTCTGTAGGAGCCCTGGCCGGCTGAGGGTTTTTTTCCCTAGCGTGACCTCATCGCAACAAGCTGCTAGAGGGAGGTTAGAGCCCTCTATTTAAGAGGACCCTGAGGTTCGAGTCACTCCGAAGTGGAGTGACTTGCCCGAGGCCCTCAGAGCTAGCAAGAAGAGGCCATACTCAGAAATGATTTCTAACTCATTATTCTCTGTCTGGGATGGAAAAAAGGAAAGAAACGCAGACATGGTCAGGGGTGTAGGAAATCCCTGGATATGGAAACATTGTTTCCATGGGGATGCACACCCACCCACCCTATCCAAGGGGGGGCTATGAACAATAGGATATCATCTTTAGACTCTCATCAGGTTTAGACTCTGCCTGGTTTCCAAAACCAGCCCCCAACATTTGTTGCTGTGTGACCCAGGGCAACTTACTCCACCTCTCTGTACCTCAGCCACCACCTCTGTAAAGCTCACTGAGTTGTTCTGAAGATTGAATGAGTTTGTTTGAGTAACGCACTTAGGTGCCCTACCTGGCCCAGAATAAGTGCTTAGGACATACAACATCAGCATCATGACTATACTTCGCAAGTACCCCTAGCAAACAGGCATTCTGACTTCCGTTTTTCAGTGGACTAAACTGAGGTTTAAGGTTGAGGAAGTGAGTTCAGGGTCCCACGGAAAGGAAATGGCAGGTGTGTTTGGCCAGGCACTGGAAAATGGCAGTGGCGTTGTGGCATTGCCTGGTAGGGCAATAGAAGGATGGGATGAGGGACAAACTAGGGTATGGGCAGGGAGAAGAGCCAAGTGGCAGAGGGCTGCCCGGGGAGGGGTCAGTTCAAGAGGCAGCAGGGAGTGGAAGTGGTAAGTCTAGGCTCTGGAGTCCCACAGAACTGGCTTTGTGACCTTGGGCGAGTCACATACCCTCTCTGCGTGTGTCCTTCTCTGGGACATGGGAGAATGATCTCAGGTGGCCACTGAGCATTTTATTGAACTTTTGCTGTGTCCTGGGTATTGCCAAGACTTTACTGGCAACATCCAACCAATCTTGCAATCTTGCAAAGAGACTAGGAAGTGTTATAGGAACATCCTATATTCCTATGTTCCATTTTGGAGAGGAGGAAATGAAGTCAAAAACGTTGCGTAGCTTGCCCAAAGCCACACACACACACACACACACACACACACACACAGCCAGATGGAAACCTAGGCATTTGGCTGAATTGTGTTCTTTTCACCTGCAACTCACTGCAGAGTAAGGCGGGTCACTGCTAGCACGGGGAGAGGGGTTTTTGTTTTTGTTTTTGTTTCTTTTTTTAAACTGTGGATTGAGATTTATTAATGAGCAGAGGTAAGCATTTAAAACAAAATAAAATAGATTAGAACTGAAAATATCTGAGTGCCTAGCATGTTGTAAGTCTTGTTTCATAAAATGTTTGTTTCCCTTGGGGAGGGTGTGGGGAGGAGAGGTGATTGCGTGTCACATTGCCATTAAAATATATTTATTCATCTAGGCTGAGGTCAGAGAAGTTTGAGAAACACTACAGAGGTGGTAAATCAAGACTGGTTTTCTCAGAGAAATAAATGTAAAGTGTGTGTGTGCGTGTTGGATAGGGTAAAGGGCGATCCTCAGAACACATCCAACTATAATTATTTTAAATCCTCTTAGCTTTAATTTTTCTCTGCATTATCAGTGATATTTCCCAGGGTGCTAGTTACTAAAAGAATAGTGCTGACTGCTTTGACTTCTTCATAGGATTTTATCAAATCTTGATCTTGTTCTACAGTTATTTGAGGAAACATCCTCCCCTCCCCCTGCCCCCAGCACTAGCACTACTAATTAGCTGGCACTATTACAAATATAGTTGTCTTTAATTGAGATTTTCTATGTGCCCTGCAAGGAAGGTAGTGTTATTTTATCCATTTTACAGAGAGGAAACAGACATAGAGAAATCACATAATTTATCCCAGTCATACAGCTGGCAAAGAAAGGGTGGGGCTTCAATTCGAACAGAAAGATATTTTTATTATTATGATAACAGTGACTGTTAAAACAAAAGTACAAGGTCATCAAAGTCCTTCCCAGAAGTTCCATAAAAACAGCCAGGTTCCAGGATATAGGCAAAAGTTGGCAATTTACCATATTTACCGTAGAAGCCAGGGCAGCCATGAGGCAATCGCGCACTGAGTTTATAGGGGACTAGCTGCCAGTTTCAAATTTATGCCATTCTTGCTATTTTTAGAGAAATTTGCAAAAATGTAACACATTATATTGTCCCTTTCAAAATCAAATAACTCGAATTATAAAATGTTGTACAAGTGTACAGATGCCCAGGCCCACCCTGAACCTGAATTTGAGGTTTTAGGCAGACCTGCATTATGACTTGTGTGTGCCCTAGGCAAAGCTTGCATGCATACATATTTATTTATATTTTATAACTGTGTTGGTGTAAAGAGAGACATAATCCACACATTTTAAAATAAGTTAAAACACTGTAACATTTTTTGGGGCCTCTAGAAGTGTGGTGGGCCCTAGGCACTGTGCCTGGGGCACTTGGTGGACAAAGTCAGCCCTGTCTTCAGGGAAGGGGCCTCGGAGAAGCTGGAGTTTCTCTGCCAAGCTTAGGAGACACTCGGAAGAGTTGGTGAAGCATGTTGCCTGTTGCCCGACCGGTAGGAGGACTGTGATATTAGTTCTTAGTGGAATCAAGCCTACCTAAATTGCAGTCTGTGACTTAGGGCCTCCGGAGACGCCGTTTCCCGCCACCATCTGCCGTCCTGTCGTTTGGGAGAGCATCCTCTGAACCGCTGTCTAGGCCCAGGGTGGGGACGTGGGCTGGGTCGCCCCCTCCGCGCGGAGGCGGCGCTGACCCGTCCCCACCCCACCCCATCCCCGCAGATGCCGGTGCTGAAGCAGCTGGGCCCCGCGCAGCCCAAGAAGCGGCCTGAGCGCGGCGCCCTGTCCATCTCCGCGCCGCTCGGCGACTTCCGGCACACGCTGCACGTGGGGCGCGGCGGCGACGCCTTCGGGGACACTTCGTTCCTGAGCCGTCACGGC